AATGTCTATCCTTCCTTCACATACATGGCTATTTGGTTCAACACTTTGTTCATGTATTGCTTTACTATTCCAGCCGAATGACTTGATATTCTTTATTTCCAGCATTATACCCTTTGAACAGATAGCACCGCCAATGTACAAAAATGTTTTAAAAGCAATTCAATACTTGATAGTTAAGGAAAATAGAAACTACTTAGGAAGTTTTCTCTAATTCAATACTTTATTTACACTAGAAATCGCAGTGAATAATGACATGTGTTAATGATGTTTTGAAAATGCTTCGGTTTGAAAATCGTGAACTGTGTTAAAATATAAACAGCGGATAAAAAAGTTTATGCTTCTCACAGAAAACGTTCGTTAAGTCATGCCAAGACAAACTGGCATTATCATTCTTTGACTTGGATATTCTTTCTATACTGTTTTAGTCTTTTGTTCTTAATAGTATATAATCATTTGTATTAGCATGCTAAGAATGCCTGGATCTTTTAAAATTTTCAGTGTTTAAGTCTGCAATGTTTAGAAAAATATTATTATTATATACCTGTTAACACAATCTACTTGTATACATGTATTATAATTTTTTGGGAGTAAAAACACTATGTTTACCTTTACGAAATTCATATAACTTATAGCATAATTTGTTCAATGCTTGTTTACTAGCGTCTAATTACCCATTTTTTTCAAAACTATTGATTCGTTATATAATTTCATTATACATAGTCGACACAAAATATGTTTGGGCGTAAATGTGAAGGTTTTGGTACAGCCATAAAGTCTATAGCTTTGGTACAGGTGTATAAAACATATGCAGATACATGTATGGAAAAAATACGTTATTAGTAATTTATACCTTAGTTCCAACTTGAAGGAAACCTATGCGAACAATGTTTTCTATTATATTTCATATAGTTTTCTATGCCTTATAAATCGAAGTTAGGGATAGCTGAACACTGATTAAAAGTCTTTTGTAAATTTAAACTGTTTTTAAGTAGCTATTCCGTATATTATGTATGAAATAATAAAGACCCGCAAAACATTCGCGGTCATATTAATATCTTTAGTGCAGCAGTACTACTTTAAATACGGGATTTCTATAATGATACAAAAAATTTTAATCGCAGACACCGAAATATTGAAGTCCACTTGTCTTATATGTTCTATAAAGAGATAAATAAACTTGTGTATTTTTTTTGCTATAGTCTATTTGGACTAAACTTTTGTGTACTTAATACTATCAATAAATAAACTATAGTGTTTTTCTCCAACCTAACGTTAGAGCTTTTAAACATTTTGACAAACTTTTAATATGTTGTTGTACAAAATGTCTAGTAAAGTATATTTACACCCGCCCTTTTTTTAAATGAAGTGCGTGCGCATGCGAATTTAGATAGAAAGATGCGCGCGCATTTTTAGGACAGACACAAACTGTGAATTAACATATTTTAAAGGCATATACAAAAATGACATAATGCTGATTTAAAGAGAAATCAATATAATGAATAACAGGTTATCGTGTTTTACAGGTACATCTACAGTGTACTCATTATGCACATACTCTGTTTCTATAATGCATTATATCCAATAATCTTTAATATCATTAATTGAATGTATATCTGGTATTTTACGACTATGTACGAGGGTTATCAAATACACTTTTGTTTATCAACATAGGACTAAAATGTACTATTCTTGTTTATGTAGCTTTTAATATATTCTACTTTCAATGTTATATTGAATAATCAGAAAAAGCAATTTTAATATAATTTGATCTGACTTGAATCTCGCTTTACGCAGAAATTTGACGTTTTTGAATATTCTATTTACACGAATTTGACCAGCAAACATTTTTATAAAATGAAAAGAGTTCTTCGCACAACTAAAGATTTTTTTTAAACAAAAGTAAACTTTAAACTTCTATATCACAAGTGTAAAAATGATAACTGCCTTTTGCCAGATTTTGTTGTTGAAATTTTTTATTCAGATAAATATGATATATTCATTCAAAAAATGTGCTTCATTCTTTAAGTAAGAGGATTTACCCATTTTCCTTAGTTTATTTGCAGTACAATATATTTTTTTAAAGTTTATAATATTCAACGATGTTTGAATGTTATTGATTCGATTGAACTTAGTGCAATAGTTGTCTGTATTGATAACAACAGTTATACTGGTATGAGCAACAATTAACAATGTTATTATGATTAGAAAGTTGTACATTGTGGATATAGACAGTGAATTATCATTTGAGTTACCTATGGTAATCGAGATAAGAGTTTCACTTGCAAGGATTAATGAATCCATAAATAGCAGAAGTAATATGAGTAAAACTAAGCAAAACGGTGCATACGTGAAAGTAACCAAAGAAGTATATTCGTTCATTGTTTAATTAAGTGATGTTATATTACATAAACGTAAATTAATATAATTAATCTTCCTACATGTTTTAATCGTATTAAAAAAGAAAACGTATTCAGTGTTAGATGAAATGAGTATATTTCTTACGGTCTAGAGGCGTTTGAAATGATCAAATGGGTTCATGAAGTTACAGTAATCCCAGAGGAAAGACTGAAGTTTCAATTGCTATTCATGTCGTTGTAATTTATTTTCATGATATAAATAATTATACAGGTTAGGATAAAAGTTACTATGTGGTTGATGCAGTTGCTATTATGAGATTGGCACTAAAGAAAATATTACGAAGGCAAATGAAATCAATTTAATTATTTGTTTCCAAGTAATAGTTAGAAGTTAAACTATGTTATTTAGTAAAAAACTTCAGAGTAACCTTGGCCACATGCTGTAATAGATAATGTAATAAATGTAGTTATAAAGAGCAGTACTTTTAATTAATACATGCCTAAGATTCCTTAAAATCAAAACCGAAAATACCCCCACCCCCAGTGATCGTTTAGTGACTAATTAGGAACTTAATCATAAGAAATGTAGACATCAACTTTGAGTATATTATTAACATATTTATTGCAAACTATTTAATGCCACTCTATCATATTAACATTACAATATCTAGGGTATTATCGTATGTATTTTTCTACCAGAGATTTTAGGAAAGTACTTGGATCCTCCGTTCTCTAGTTATTATTCAGAATTTTCCATTTGATAAACAAATGCATTAGCAGAACAAGAAGAATGGTTACAAATAAAACAATGGATATTTGCTGTTTTAATATATTGTATGAAGAATAGGTATGTATTAAAATATCGACATGGAGAGTTTTATGTTTCAATAAATAATTTTTAGGGATAATGAAAAACATCTTATGAATCACAAACTTTAAATTGAAAAACAAATCATTAAACAATTTGGAACATCTTGAGATTTTGTACTGTCGGAGAAATATACTTGACAATCAGCTAGTTGTCTGTTACGCACAGAATATTGACAAGCTACTCCAATGGGTCTGAAGATTCTGAGCTTTTTTGGATCCTTTCGACATGAGTGCAATACTTGCTGACTCAATAGCAATCACCGTGTATAACGGAATAAACTAATTATATAAATACGGTGGAAACATTAGAGACTAGACTATATATATTATTAGTTATGTATAAAAATTCTTGTGTTCTAAAGGGCTCTTATAAACTTATTTAAGAGCATGTAGGTTAACCTGTATAGTCAATATAGTCAATACTTTCTGTAACATAAGATAATGAACAATTAACTATTTTGATAAAGAGATAACCCTTACTTTCTTCGAAGAATCAATAAAGGAACTATAATTCATATTGCTTATTATTACAGTCCAAAAAATAATAATAAAATAAATAGGTCTGAAATATACATAAAAATTTAAAAAGTTTATCTTTGAAAAAATGTTTTTTTTTAAATTGTGATTAATTTGTGTTTATAATTTAACATATATTTCTAGAAGTCATGAAATGATATTTTATTTTAAAGAATAGGAAATGTACATATGTCATGAATATTTTTGTTCACGTTAATGTAGTTGATTGCAGAAGCTATACTTAATCTGATTAATGGATATTCCTAATTTGTCTATAGTGTTTCAAACAAAACAATCAATGTATCCCGAGCTCCTGCGTATATCTCATATATATATATATATTTTAATAAATTCAATTGATTTGAAAGAAACATCTAAATTTTCTTCCAGTACATCACATCATACATGTACAGAAGAATATCTAGTTTCGTAAGGCATATGAAAAACATCCACAAAAGTGAATTATAGATCTTTATTAGATCGAAGTATCTTCTAAGGTTAACTTTCTTTAGTTATCACTCTTGGTCGACTTTTAAAAAAACATTTTTATTGCCTTATTTTCGAAAAATTGTAAAACAAAATTGTAGCAAAACCTAACTTACTTCAAGTATTTAAGTACTCATTATTTTACACCACTCGCACACTCTTGCATAATTTAAGGAACTTTGCCTCTCGTCTGTTATTTTACTTGACAGTTCTATGTATTAAATGTATTTTTTCAAGTAATCAATACCTCACCAATCAACAAGTTCAACGTACGCACAATGCACTGCTCAACCTTGATAAGAGAAAAATCATAAAAAATATTGTAATGATTCTTGATACAAACAATTTCATTTAAGGAATAGATAACAAAATTTTTTGGCAGTTTTTAAGTCCCCAGCGTATAATATTGGTGATTTGTCATTAACATTGTCGAATCCTTCATAATCTAACTTTCTCACCTCTATCAAAGCTCTACCACCTCATGCACGTAGCATAACAGAAAAACAAGATGATCGATTTGTGAACATCAGTATTTTTACAATTTTTATAAGATTTTTATAATTATAAATCGTCTCATTTTTTTATGTTACTATAATGAAAAATTATGAGAATGCACATAACCAGCTTAGAATAAAAACCTTTGGTACTACATTTACAAAGAGTCTTTGTCTTTGCGCGCGCGCACGAATTTTGGCTCGTTAAAAGGCACGAGACTGGTGTGTTCTTCAGATGTGAAGCGGACATTCAAACTTTGAGTAGCGAGGACGTCAGGTTGCGTTACCGAGTCTCGGCTTAATAATTGTTCTATTTGTGTTAACAGAGAGATTTAGTTTATCAGAATCAAAAATTCGGACTAGCCGAACGATGATCGCAATACTGAAAATTCTAGGGGCTACATTCGGATTATTTTTTATGTCTTCAGGTAAAAAATGTTTTTTATATATTTGTATATTTTTAAAACTGTTCATAAAAATCCATATTTAACGTTCTATCTATCAGTATATTTATTCATTGCTCTATAGCGCCGCTTTCGGAAGTATACAAAATACTGACGTGTCTGTTGAAAACAATTGTTATATTTAAATAGTGATACCACAACATTTGTGTAACTTATAAAACGAGTATTTTAGTATAAAATAAATAGTATAAAATGATTTGAAAGTTATTATACGAGCTTTGCCAATTCAAAAATAAGTTAGGAGCTTTAGAGTATTTCATTTTAATAGATTATCCCTAGTAATAAAGTGTATCTTGGTCCTGACGAAACAATTTTGTTGACATGTTACGAACCATAACAGCGAAGTTAACCAACAGATTGTTCAATGAATTCTAATTATTACGGCTCAGCGGTAAGTCTGCGGGCTTATAACTTTAAAAATCGGGTTTCGATACCAGCAGAGGGTAAAGCACAGATAGTCCATTGTGTAGCCTTGTACTTAAGAACAAGTAAACAAAAGTAACCATTATAAGTTTTTGTTTTATGATTTTGCATACAGCTAATTAGAACGATATATTAAATTACGTGTATTAATTAGAGGATTAATTTTCTAGTTATGAATTATGTAGGTAGTTTGCTTTCATCAAAAGTTAATTATAATTACTAGTATATCAATCCTGAAGCGAGAATTGTGAGTTAGAAAGTTGTGCTACGTTACAGCGTATGTTTTATGTTGACAATAAAAGTATAGCTTCTTCGGGTTATAATTACATGCGTACGTCTCTTATTTAATTTTCTTTATTTGTTTTGGAAATTTCAGCATAGTCACGTAAGAGGTATTTGTCTATAACTATCCCTAATTTTGAACTGATAGACTAAGGAAAAGGTAGCTACTCACCAGCACCTAACTGCCAAAGCGTGAGCTACTCTAATTGAATGGTGGCATTTAACCGTCATTCTTATAATGCACTCACGACCCCAAAGTATGGAGTCCGTTTGAACGGCAACGGGACGCGAACTTTGAACCCGCAGATTCACAGTCTGGGAGGCTATTTACGTCCAGCCCTATTCAATTTTGAAATGTACCTTCTCAATTAAGAATCAATAACTGTTTTATAAAATATTGCGGTAATTTCAAGTTAGTCATGAGTAATGAGACAAACTTTTACTGAGATGCGTTAATATGTAATTTCTATAATTATTAAGTAATATTCATATGAAGTAGTCTATAAATAATAATTTAACATGACATGTTTTTTACATAGAAATAGAAAATAAATTCGGTAATATTAACCAATCCTTATATAACATTTTAAATTTGCTCACCTTCAATTTTCAAGTTTAGTTACACATTAAATTTTAATGGTTAATATAGGACAGTGTAGAGCTGCTGTTTCATAGATGAAAATGACGTTTTGATGAATATAATTAGGTAATGCACACATTTGATTGAGAATTAAACCTATAATTTATGTGTAAATAATTAATAAGTATCCTTACTTTAACCTTGACATTTTCATAAGGAATGACGTTATTATTTGTTGCTAGGTGATAATAATGGTTTACAACGTGCTATTACATATGACTATTATTTCCCTCTTACGAGATAATATAGTGGTTAATTAATCTACATATTTTTGTTTGCACAGTGATATACACACACACACATATATATATATAATCTTTTCCTTATTACTGTGTTAGTTACTGATCAACAGTTCTTGTATATCAGACAAATATTATCATAGGAGAAATTAAAAATTATAGTACTTTTTATACATTGAAGGTTTTGTGCACTCTATTTATTTGATATGGACTTCAAGATAAACAGTTAATGATATAGCATCTCTATGACTTATTTGCTTTGTAATTCATGTTACACAGTTTGAAATTTTTGTGTACAATATTATTTCATCTCAATACGTCATACAGTCATTGATATAGTATCTCTCATATAAGCTATGTTATTAGTTACACATGTTACTCTGATGATGATTACAGGGAAAATGTGTTTATTCTTTCTAAAGTATAACGTTACGCATTTCCAACATTATTTATGGTCATAAAAAGTCACTTTTTAGTCACACATTTTACTGAGATGTCTACAAAAAACACAATAGATACTACGGGCACATTATGTATTATTTGTACTCTTTGTTTTCTTTATAAAGGTATTTATACCTTATGCTGTTTCTTGTAAAAAAACGTATAGCTTACATTTTATGCTTTCGATATGCTAAACAAACACTTGTTGTCTTTGCTGCATAAAACAAGAACGTGTGCTTTATCTTCTACTGTTTACAACAACAAAGTCTACAAGATTTTCCATCATATATTTAAACCATCCTATATTTATATTTTATGTTGTGCGAAAACTATATGAACTTCATGATATGAAAATATTCTATACAAAGCCATTTAAAACTTTTTATTTAATAATATATTCATGCTTTAGTTTATTTTACTTTGACCTCATTAGGTTATGAGATATAAGATGATGATGGTTTTATGAATTTTAGATTTTTATGACCATTTTAATAGTGTTTACGAAGATGCAGACGAACGTAATGAAAGTTATGTGACGTGACATCTGTTTTATTACGTATGTGATCTTGTTATGCTGAAAAGAAATGCAATATGTTTTTTTTTGCCAAATAAAATAGTTAATATCTACCTGAAACGATCAAATGCTATTTATGTTATATATAATTCATCTATTGATTATGTTATTAGGCATTCAGTAGCTAACTCTCACTAATGTAAGTTAGTATTTACAGTAATAACATTCGTTTGAAGTATTTTTTTTTTATATATTTCCAATCGAACTAAAAGTTCTTTAACACACTATGCCTCATCGTTAGTTTTGGGCTAGTTAATTTGACTTTAATGACTATAATCGACAAGCAAAAGCTGTTTAATATGCTTAGAACTCAAACCTAAATTGGTTTTTCAAAACCATTAAAAAAGAATGAATGCATATACAATTTACTATGATTTTCTAATTATCTGTCACTCTATCTGTTCATTCATTTATCAATCTGCTACGCTAACTTTCTACGAACTTTATCTGCGTGAGTAGTTTAAATACGATAATAAAAGAGTTGGACACGATATTCCAGAAATTTCTATGGAAGTTTGTTTTGTTTTTGTTATAATCGTTAACCTGATGTTGTAATTTTTGGTAGTATTCGTTATTTCATAGTTGTTTAAAACATGCTATCTACAAAGATTGGCACGGTCAGAAGCTATTGCATGTTTCATTTCATGTCGTTTAACGTAATAAGGAATAAACCTTTATAATTAACATCTAAGTTACACTTGAACACGTATATCTTTTATTGCTAGGTGTACGTCTTTTAAAGACGTGTTTCGAATGAATCTCATCACAAACGAGCATATATCACCGTTTCGAACACGCACGAGATTTCCCAATTAGTGACACTGCTGCTTCTGAGTAAACCATTTTTTATTTTTCTAATTAATAAATTCATCTGTCTATTTGTCTATCTATCTCGGATTACAACTAAAAATTCCCCGAAATTACGTCATGCTCCAATAAAAAAACTTCTGTCGTTTATTACGGGTCAACGGTTTCCTTAGAATCATAAATGCTCTAATAAATAAATAAAAACTGTAACGTAGCCAGAATGAAGGTTTATTTATTTTTAATAACTTGGTTTTTCGAGAAAGGAGAACTTATGAGATATTTAATAGAAAATGTTTTTCTTCTTCTTGTTGGCTCTACATAAAGATATTGGTGAGATAAATTATTCATTGATGACGGAAAAGCTGTTTCATTGATCACTATGTTTTATTGTCGTCAAGAAGGAATTTTCAAAGTGAAACGTATGAAACATAATGCCATCTAAATACGAAGGAGTAGATTAGGGATATAGCGCTTTAATAATTTTAAGTTTATGGTCTTAAAAATGTAATATACGTTTTTCCAGTTTTGTTGTTAAAGTATCTGAAAGTTTTCTATACATTCTTTGCTTTGGAAAATGAAAAAAGTAATATTGATACACAGAACAATGAGAATTCAGTAAAGTAAATAAATTTTCTTAGTTGGATTAAAGAACAGCTTCTATAAACATTTCTCTTGTAATAGATTATGAAACTATAAAATCTTGAAATGATTTCCATCCAGTACGTCTGTTGTAACAATTCTTTCCTTTTAGTTACTTTCTGGAAGTAAAAGAACAACTGAGAGGTACAAATATCGATAAAAGTATTCACTTTGACCACTTTTATCTAACATAATTACACTATGTATTAAAGTTTACAGACTAATCGAGTTCATGAACGAATCATATACTGAAAGTTTTTAATATGTCGTTAAAATATAAAAAAAATTAATGTTATGTTTCACAGTATAACTGATTAGTTATAGAAGCAACACATGTTTACAGGGACGACATTAATATATTCATCTAGGAAGTGCTGAACAATAAGTTATATTGTTCAACATCAGACGATACCGACTCTGAATCCCAAGAAATTTGTCAAGAGACATGTTCTAAACATGGAACAATATATAAACTTACAGGGCTATGACATAAAGAACCTGTCTCTTGTAGCTGATGTAATTTTTTAAAGTTTTACACTCCTTAATAATTACAATGTGTTTTTAGATCTTCATTTTCACTTTGTTAAGTGCAAACCACAATCAATTTTCAGTTTTGTTTTGTGATGAAATATTTATATTTGAAGCTTATTATTAGAATTTAACCATTTTATATTCTGTGACACATCAATTATGAATTTAAAAGTTGTCATTACTCTGAATATAACACTGTATTATAAGATGTCGAATTCTTAAGCTCTCTCAGTCTAAGTCCACTGTTTGTTTGACACTTTTTGTTCTAAGGAATACAAGTATTATCATTCATTCCCACTTTAGATAGCTTGGCTACATCTGAGTTGACGACGACGCGAGGTCCCAGGTTTCTAGAGGATCATCCTGACGTTGTAGAGTTTACCAATACATCAGGTGTGGTTATTCCTTGTCGTGCTGATGGTCAACCTCCGCCTATTGTTCAGTGGATGATAGGGAATCGGAATGTGGTCAGGAAAGGAAAACTACAGGAGGTTAGCTCAGATGGGTCACTAGTGTTCAAGCCCTTTCATGCCAATGATTATCTATCAGATGTACATTCTGCCAAGTACAAGTGTATGGTCACTAATGTTGCTGGAACCATTCGTAGTAAAGATATCCGGGTCAGAGCAGGTGAGATCTCTAGGTTTTTATACATTTGACAATATAAGTTTGCTAACATGTCGTCATTAAATACATTATTAACCAAGTTTTGGTTCGGTTAAACATGACTGCAAGTAAAAGCAAAATGTAATTTTTTTCTATATATGTACATTGCTTTTGGCTCTCAAACCGAAACGATGGCAAAATAGTTTCGAATCGACGGTAATATAGTATACACCGATATCTATAGGAAAAGTTATAATCTATTTCTTTGTTGATAAAAGCAAAGAAGAACCTTTTTGAGTGCATCAAAATTTCCATTTATCGAACAAAATTCCTTATGTTCATTAAAACATTTTATTGCATATTTATGAAGCCTGTCATTTCTTCAGTCTAACTCCTTATTAAGTTTGTTTGTTTGTTTGTTTTGAATTTCACGCAAAGCTACACGAGGGCTATCTGCGCTAGCCGTCCCTAATTTAGCAGTGTAAGACTAGAGGGAAGGCAGCTAGTCATCACCACCCACCGCCAACTCTTGGGCTACTCTTTTACCAACGAATAGTGGGATTGACCGTCACATTATAACGCCCCCACGGCTGAAAGGGCGAGCATGTTTGGTTGGACGGGGATGCGAACCCGCGACCCTCAGATTGCGAGTCGAGCGTCTTAACCACCTGGCCATGCCGGGCTCCTTATTAAGAATGGGGCTTAGAATGTTCTAGATTAAATTATTTTGGTTACGTTGTTTGCTCTCCTGTCTGTTTACTTGTTATATTTATCTACTGTAATATTTTTTCATAGAAGGAACAATGTGATGACCCTATACAGAAACTGTACTTTTGAAATTATTTGAAGATTTTGTTTGTTTGCTGTTATGTTAAACTTATATTAAAGTTTTTCTTCATTACCCATTTAAGCCGTCTCCAGCCATTATTTGTTTGTTTGTAATTAAGCACAAAGTTACACAATGGGCTATCTGTGCCGTGCCCACTGCGGATATCGAAATCCGGTTTCTAGTGTTATAAGTCTGCAGACTTACCACTATTCCATTGGAGAAGGGGATATTTGAAGCTGTAAGCTGATTTGAAATGTTACATTACATTATAATGACATCCAGAGTTTAGTGAGACGCTATATTTCATCTGTATAGTTTTTGTCAGCCACTAAATTGTGAATTATTAAACATAGGTATGCTGTACAAAGTACCCTTTTCATGAAAAATTCAAATATTCTTTGCATCATCCTAACTAAAAAGCTATCATTTCTAAGCAAGTTTATTCCTTATCGCGAATTCGTCGTTTGAAATGATAGTTGACTAAATATTACATAATAACTAACCTGCGTATAAGGTTACTACTACATGAGGGGGGGGGAGGGGAGTGTAAAGTTTAGGAAAAAAATGAAGCAGTTTTAAATGACACCCGGTGCTGACACTCAAACGAATAGTCTAATGTTCTCAGCATAATTAAACAATGTCATTGATGTGATCGCTTGAAGCACTTTAATTTCTATACTGGAATAAATCTATTTATGTGTAGAATTTTCTGTGTGTTTTTTATATTCGGTTTGAATATTCTGACAGCCATATCTTTGTTTTCTAAGTTGCGATAAAAACAGTTAATGTATACTTGAACTAAATGTACAACAAGAATAGCAGTTTGCCTTTTGAATTCGTTTACTAATCACAGCCATTACAGATATTCGTATTTATTTGTATTTCGAAAAGAAGAGTCGTTATTAATGCGAAAAAAAAAAGTAGGAGTAAAGAGAGTCCCAAAAGTTAGAAAACGCCATGTTTAAACTACAATCAATACAAATGTGTTTCCTCTTCCAAATATTTGCACATTTGCCTAATGGAGTATTATCGAAAAGAACAAAGTGAAAGTATATTGTTTGTTTTTCGTCTCACTTCTTTACGATATATGTTATTCGGAAAACACGCTGTCTCGTGAAGCTTCTGTGCTTATTTTTATTGACAAAATGTATTTGGTTTTTGAAATATATTTTTATATCTCGCTGTGCCGCAGCTTTTGCACGTATATTTCATTTAAGTCAGGCAACCTCATAAGATCTATTATGTTTACACATACTCAGTACGTGTTTAAACCACGAACCCAGTCTGGTATGGTGGATATCAATGGCATATACAGTTCACTTCTCACACGCTGCCAAATATGTATTTATACATGGCAAATGCAAGTGAAATGAATTTAGTATTGAACTTCCTATTGAGCAAAGTCGAATTTTCTTGATATTATTTGCTGCAATTTTCCTCGCTCTATGACGTCAACAGTTTAGTTTACCTTAAATTGATGCAGCTTGATATCCTGGTGACACCTTTACATTCCACAATATCTAATGGAAGAGTTTCTAAGAACTTTAGAATAGCAAATAATCATTATGTGAAAAATACTTAGTTCATGGATATTTTCAGCCGTTACTTTCGCATGCAAAAATCTATATCAGTGTAAGAGTTTTCACAAACATTAATATTTGGGTGTCATTCATTTTTTAGAATGTTTTGATGCGTACCATGAAATCAGCTGTAATTTATGCCAATTATTGAATAAAAATGAAAATTAAATGCATAATTTTGAAATCGCAATTTTATGAAAAATAATACAAAATAATTCTAACTTTACTTACTTCACTTAATCATAATTTTCCTCAGGTTAATTGTAATAAATTTTACTTCTAACCCATGATAAATAGACACATCATTTATGACTCGATGTCATTAAAAACTATTTGTTTCGTTTATTTAACACCTGCCACACTAGCCAGTCTTGCATCTTGATGTCGATAAAAAAAAAAGAGTCATTCTGGAAAGGTTTGGGTTGTTTTAATTAGAAAAAAAAGAAAAACCTTTGGCACTATTTTTGAAGTCTGTGTCGTTGTACGAGACCCGTGACCTGACCCGCAATCAAAAGATCCAACAAGGAGAAGTTAACTTGTAAATGTAAAGTAAAACGATGTAACAATGAAACATGTTTGGAATACTTTAAATGTTTTTGTGAATGTGATGGCTTAAGTGTAGCGGTTAAGCTAAACCGTAGGTTCAGGTTGGATGAGGGAAGGACTTATTCAAAGATATCCCAATCGATTTGATATACCAGCTGAATCGGAGATTCGTCAGCTAATTACTGCATTGACAGCGAAACATGAAAAAAAAAACAAAAAAAAACGGGCCCAATAATATCGTTATCCTTAAAAAAAGAGAGATTGGAATCATATATAAGAAATAATTAGTTTCAATAGTTTGTGAAACTTAAAGCACAGTGAAGCCCAAAGATGCAGCATTCAAGTTGAAGCAGATGCACGATGCATTACAAGATGACTTCCTTAGCGATTCTTAAATTAAAAATGTCATTTCTGCAATAAAGAGTAAATATAAGGAGGACGGTATAAGACACAGTATGGTACCAACATAGTATAAACCATATAAATTTTATCATGTCATATTGTCATTAATATTTCGTTAATTTCTGTTTTAGAAGTTATTTCGAGGTTCATTCATCAAAATATATCGAAATAACCCTAAATCACCGGTTTCCGGAATGATTCCCCTGTTGACCACCCTAAGCTCAGTACTAAAAGATGCTGGGCTGGTTCGTGAGGCAAGTGGTAAAAACAAATAAACTTCCCCACAACATTAAAGAAATTGAGTATCAACGTGATTCCTATAAAACAGGCTACATTTGGAAACTTTTCATCTGTGGCACTTTTGTAGATTATTCCTCCAAGGCTTTCTTCACAAGTGTAATGCTGAACTAGACACTTGCTGCTCGTTTCACTTTGGTTTGCTCATCACGAAGACTCTGTCTAAATCATTTATAAAATAATAATTAATCTGTTTTTTTATCTTCTAGCAAATATTTAAATATTTATTTGTTAATAAGTATTCTATACCTACTGACATTTTCTAGTGTCTAACAAATCTATTGAAAAATTCGGCTTGATCTTTAAGTAAATGGTTATTTTAGTGCTAATATAACCTTTAGGGCCACTTTCGTTTCGTTTGCAGTTAAGCATAAATCTATACAATAGGCTATCTGTGCTGCGCGCATCACGGGTATCAAAACCCGGTATCTAGCGGTATAAGTCCGCAGACATTCCGCTGTGCCACTGGAGGAGGAGGCCACTTAGGGCTAGCGAGTTTCAAAAAGATTGGGAAAAGTGTCTACTACGGCATAACAATGTAATGCATTAAACTGTATCGTTTCTCCACTTTTTATACATTAAGTGACTAATTATGATGGTGGGTGAACTCTCAGGAAATTTTACGATTTTTTGTATAACTCTTAGCTATGTTACCTTATATCAGATGTTTATTATATTTTCCAACGAAATAGAATACAAGCAAGCAGCATGCTTATGAGGGAGCTATGGCAGAATTGCTGAGAGAAATAATTACAAAAATAGATAAAACCAATGGAACATTGAAACAGGAACAACAAGAGGAAGTGTGGTGTGTACTTTATCTTTTCTGTCGTCTTTAGATCTTGTACACCGCATTACTTGGCCCTGAGTACTATCCATCACAAAGACGTGACAAGTACATTGCGAGATGCGAAAAGATGAAGCATTAGTTGCTATGTTCAACATTATTCCTTTTACTTTTCCTACAATTGATCATCTTGTAAGACACACACTAAGATCCTCCACCCTTCCACATTTTTTTATAACACTCTTTCTCCTCCTTCTTCGTTTAAATTCTCTCAGGCTTCCTATAAAAGTTATTGTGCCTTTCACAAGAAATTGATATAAATTTTGTTCTATAGAGGCATTACTAATAAAACCACAACAACACTAAGTTCTACTTCAATAAATGTTGAGATAAGCTTCTGGTCCTTAGAACAAGCATCATATTCATTGGTTTTGAAAATATTATTGTTTACACATTGTTTCTTCAAATTTCAGAGTTTTAAATATCCTAATACCAATATTATGTCATGTTGGTTGTATAATTTTTTTTTTACTATCAGTGTAAAGACATTAAGTTTAGTAATATTAGAAGACAAGAGATACTCACTTTAGATAATGGTATTTTTGAGCTGAAATGTAACTTAAGCGGTACATGGATGAGTGACCACTAGGCCGTAGACAATGAATGTCTTTAGTTTTGAACTACTGACAAGAGTGAAGTCAACATTATTCGCTATCAGAAGAACTTTCTCCATCTTTGAACAGTTTAACTGCATTGTTTCTCACTCTTATAAAAAAACCACAATTGAAAGTATGAAGTGTGTTCAGTTGCATAGTGACGCGAATCTTGGAACTTCCGATACACAGCCTGGGACGCTAGCCATTAAGCCACATCTGAACCTTTCACTTTAGGAATTAATTAAGTGGATATATATAACCACTTTGGAGCCAGTTGAACAATTTGACACATCAATATATTTTATATAATTAACTCTATAAAGTTACTAATTTATTAAAAGGCTACATAAAACATTAAGTTCTTTGTAAATGAATTAGATAAAATTAGCGATTTATACTACGTTCATACTATCAGATTCATTGAACGTCAGATCTGGCAAAACTTACTTACTTGTCTCTACACTCTGATAAATGTATTGAAATCAATCAGTTTATATTATTTAAAACTTATATGAAATATCTGAAACAGCTTCTCTGAATATATTAGAAAAAACTAAATTACCTTACTTGTTACATTAATAACCCATAACTTAATATTTCTTCAAAATAACTAATGTTTTGTAAGAACAAAAAGAAACAAATGTCGTCTATGAAATAATGTCTTCAAGTCTCAGAAACAAAAACAAACTTTATTGTTTTTAAGAAAATAATGACGTGAATTTCGAAATAAAATTATGTTCTTTAGTCTAATCTAGACACCAAGCTTTATGTTGTAACCTTTTTCTCATATCCTGAGAATAAGATAGCTCAGCGATATATGTCTTTGGAAGATGGGGTTTCTGATCGATGTTCAATTTGACCGTTATTTTTCTTTTCATCACATGCTATTAGACTGACCTCATGTAGAGGATGTTTCAAGTTCCTCAAGGGACTTTCTTCTCTGATTGTCTGTGTACAAGTCTGTGGGTAACGAGAAGTACGTTGGGGGGGGGACTACTGACGTGATCGCTTGATGACTTACTATGTATAATCAACCACTACGTTAGTTATCTAAAGGCAAAAGGAACAGCTTAACTTAAAGAGCTTTAACCAATAGAGGTTTCGGAGAGGAAAGACTGCTCATCTAAGGTACTTTTTTAGCTGTTACTTTGATCTTATTTATGGTGATTTTATTGTCTTTACTTCTTCCATCTAATTAAAAAAAAATCGTTGTTTTCTACAGTGAAATTTCGTTGCATTCAATAGATTTCGTAGCAGAATAATACCCTTGTAAGAAGAGGATAAAAGTAGTAAAAGTACGGGTTACTTTTCCAACAACATGTACTTATTTTGATTAAATCTCTCTCGAGTATCTTAAGACTGAAATTAATTTATATCCACATTTTATAAGTTAATCTAACCGGGTTCGTCAACCACGTAATAACATTTTTAACTTTAATGTTTTAATCTTTACAGAAGTCCAGAAAATCAGGATAAAATAACCCCTTTGAAACCTTCATTACTTAGTTTTATTATTTAAATCTACTTTTATTTTAATGGGGATAACACAATCATTGTACACAAAGGTATACGACGTATGCTTAGTGCCTTTATCTTATATATACATATTTCTTTCCTTTTTAACGGAAAGGAGCATCGTAATCATTGTAATCTTGGTTAGATTTAGTACAGAGAGTTTGATAATGTGACTAACAGTAGTTACTATATATGTGTGTGTGTAACAAAAGAGAAGCAATAAAAGTTGAATTAATTAAATTTCATTAACAGAAAAGTGATAAGCTCAAATGTAGCACTATCGAGATACGTGTTAAATGCTAGTACGTAACAAGAGAAATATGAATTTTTCATACGTTGTTCGAAATCACAATCTAATAGAATCTATTTTTGCACGAAGTGTAATAAATTTTAGTTACCATAGAGATTTTAACATGTATAACATAGACAAAGAGGTTCAATAGGACAGAGGGGAATAACCACGGAATGTTAATATAGATCCTATTTCTAGAAGAGTAATAAATTGATACATTGCAAGGGACACTTTTTCTAACATCTGCAACACTTTCTGTGACAAATATTTTATACTTGTCACTTTTCTGTTTAGTCAATCGTTTTTGCCTCTATGAAATATGTTAATAAGTTATTGATAATTAAAACACTGAATCGGTACTCTTTATATCAGGAGGTTTCTGCTATATTGCACTTTTGCACAATTTTATTATTTACCATATAATAAACTTAAAAATATATATTTTCAAATACCAGAATTTACGTATGTCTTTAAAATATAGCTTATTAAAATATAAAGTGGTCTAAATCTAAACAATTATACTTATAAATTATTTTATAAAATAGATGGTTTTATGAATTTAACATAACTTGTAAGAGACAAAGAAAATGGTTTAAATAGAATGGAACTGATTGCATTTCCTAAGCCTTATATCCTTTGCTTGTCTACTTTCAGTGATCGTCAGACATTTTGAAGTTCAAGTGTATAATGAATATGTAATTCGAGGAAATTCGGCCGTCCTCAAATGCCACGTACCTTCCCACGTGCGAGATATCGTGACAGTGACGTCATGGATTCAAGATGAAAGTATACAAATCACGTCCTCTACGTTACAAGGTCAGATATAACATATCATTTGAAAATATATTTCCCTCACTTGATGCTACTTTTATTGTGAAAATATGAAGTACCTAGATATATACATCTAATTACGTATATAATCAACTTCAATTATGAATGTTGTAGCTGTCATCCAGTCATCTTATTCATCTTACTGCTTGCTCGATATTATAAAAAAGAGTGTCAGACATTGCCAATCCATGTATTATACAGCAAGGAAACTTATCAAAATATATCATAAGACAGTTCACTGAAAAAACTAATCAGATAAATGTCAGAGTTGGGGTATGAAAGAAATTCTTTCCATATTAAGGTACCTCTAGGAAATTCCAGCTCTCTGAGAATGATATTGCAAGATAACAAAATAAAACAATATTGTGAAAGTTGAACACATTCTTATTTTGTGTCGAGTTCTGGGTTATAATTTGCATTTTGAAGTTAACACATATACTGGAATAGAGAGAGAACAAAGGCATAGAAATATTTTCATATATTCGGATTAACTGGATATTAAAACTCAGTCCATTTGTTTTCCTTTTTAAATCTACAAAGGAAGAACAATGCAAATTGAATAATAATAGATAAAATGTATACTAACAAGTATTTATTACTAAAAGCATTTCACACAACATTATTAAAGGCTTTGAATAAAATAGCTAAACGCATTTTAAATACTAAAGCCATGATTAATCCTATTTCATGAAATTTTCAAATTAACGATGGTTACGTCGTGGCAGAATCATAATGGAGCATCTCTCTATTAGCTGTGAATATGTCTCAGAACGTTTTCAACGTTATGCAACGATAGTTATAGATAACGAGTATATTTGATGTGATGAATATCCAGTATTAATATTAAAGGCATATATTGTTATTAATATGTAACTTAGAAACCTGCAACAGCTTGTACGTCTTTGCGGGTGGAGTACGTCTTTGCGGGAAATCCAATGAAATAACGAAAGCGTGATTACTGTATTCTGATACTTGCTTTTTTACTTTCCAAACTTTGTGTCTTACAAAGATTACACACTGGATACCGCTTTAAATCGTATAGCTTGTATAATATAATTCACTGCACATTAAATCAAAACTCGATAGATTATTTCTTATCTTCATGTCGAAAAAAATTAGCAAACACTATAATTTGTACTCGTTTTTTTTTCTTTGATAATTGGATACGTTGCTGTGTACAACGATTCTAAGTGTATATTGTGGCCATTTATCCAAATTGCATCACATTTTATTTTGTATAGAAAACGTTATCATGTATGGAAAATAAATAGCTGTTTTTCAAGCCATTGACAATAAATTTTCAATTTGCAAAATCTAAATCATGGGATTTTTTGGCTTTAGCGTATGTTTTCTTTTAATATATGTCAAGCTCACCTGGCAAACTACTAACTTCATTGAATGCCATAAAATATTCAGGTATCAAGACCACAAAATCTATGTTTTCAATAGCATGTATTATTAAAAAAAAACTTCATATAATTTTTTTTCTTTCAAAAATATAATATTCAGTCCTAAACAAAATCTATTCTATTAGAGACTATTCATTACAGTTTCTGTGGCTGTTGAATTTAATGTTTTGTTTTGGCTTACAGCAGTACTGGTATTGACGGAGATAGAAGATAACAATGTTTTACTTATATTAATTTGCGATTGTCAAATCTTCATATGTTTCTAAGTTTTATTGATTAAAACCATAAAAGAAACAAGGACGTCAAACATTTACGCGCAAAGTTAAGACGCTAGAGATTACTGAGATTAATTTTCAAAGTAAGATAATTTTTTCTTATAATACTTTTTCCTGAGATAGTCTTTGTGCACGAAATTATTGTAGTTTTTTTGCTCATACATTTAATTAAAATCTTAGAAGGGTTACGAAACTTATTTGATGCACCACGTAAATCATATAAGTAAAAGCTAACAGTAATTATCATATTTTTGTTGTACTTGTTTAAAAAGTGTGCTTATCATGACGAAAATAACAAGAAAAGATCACCATATTATTGTGTTAACCAACGAAAATGCTTTGCGGAAACCCGGCATACTTCATAAAGAAGCTAAAACGTGCTTAAAGCAAACAAAAACTTGACAAAATCAGAAATATTCAATTTTATCTATTCGGTATCTTTAAAGTCTTTATAATGGTACCTGAACATTAAGAAATATACTGAATATTGTGGTTGTCTTATTTTATTCTGGTGTGTTAAACATTTCGAATGTTAGATTATAATGCTTTTATTTATTGAAAAAACACACACAATAGACTTAGGTAATTCATTTTAATTAATTGCACCAACCCAAGGTTTATTTCCACTTGGCAATAACATGTTGTTAGTTCAAACTTGTTTAGAGATGCTGTTTTATTTTTTAGGAGGCAAATACTCTGTTCTACCAACAGGGAGTTTGTTGATACGTGATGTCACAGAAAAAGACGAAAGAAAAGTTTATCGTTGCCAAGTTTACAATCGTCTGACTTCAGAATCAAAAGTTAGCAGCAAAAGTGGGAGAATAATTCTAACAGGTTAAAAATTCAAATAGATAATATATCTTTAATTTTAATGTGTTTTTTATTCAGTATGTTCTAAACAGGAATGCGATAACTTATGCTATAAGTTTCAAAAGTTTTATTTTAACATGTGTTTTTATTCAGTGTGTGTACTAAACAGAAATGCCATAACTTATTATGCTTTAAGCAGGGCCGGTCCTAGAGTACAGGAGGCCCGGGTGGAAGAATTAATGGTTGTCCCCCCTGCTACAATGTACATGAAATGATATATATATATATATATATATATGCATGATAGAGAGGGTGATTAGAAACAAAAAGATATAGCATTGCATGATGCATCTCAAACTCAATTTTAGTAATGACCTACCCAGTTTTCAAGCATAATAAATGGAAACAGATGGAATAATAACAATGAAAATGTACTTACAAAATTCTAGTTCAAGTGAAATTGCATTTTCATGCACTATCACTGGCTCACTCTTCTATGAGGTTTTCGAAATTGTAGCATCTTACTTCCTATCTTTCAATTGACAAGATAGTAAAGGAATTGAGACAGTCTTGACTCACTGTTGATCGCAAATATGATCTTATTAATTTCAGTTTACTGAAAGAGCTTTCAGCACTAGCCACTGTAACTGACAAAGTTAAGTAAACTCTGACAGCTACAACAACGTTTGGAAAGCTGCATCATATCTGCAGTTAACCAAACACCTTAATAAATCTGTGATTTTCATTTCAGTATAGTTCTTTTCTTTCAGAATGTTTTTTTAGAATTTTTGACTCGTCTATGACTTCTGGACCAATGTCTTTGAATAAAAATTGAAATCCTTTACTGCTTGCCCTAAGTTTTCATCGGAGATGTTTTGTTCCATTAAATACTGAAGGAATTTGAAGCGATTCATTATTTTGGGAATACTACTAAATCGCTCTTGAAGTTGCATCAGTATATTATCAACTAACGTATTGAAGAATATAAATCTGAAGTGCTGTTCTGGGTCACAAGGAGTTTCATCGTCAGAAATTTCATCATACTGTCTTTTTCTTTTATGTAGTCTCTTAGATGGAAAAATTAGGATTGCCACCTATTTCTTCAACAGCTGCTTTCGCTTCTTGTAGTGCAGAGTCAAATCTAGTTTATTATTTATAGTCTAACAGAATTTATCAAAGATCTTGCAGATTCCAAAGTAGCTTCCCTACTTTGCAAATGTTTATTAATTTTATTTATCATACTTAATTAGTCACACTATACAACTAATGAAACGAGAAAAGGCAAAGACTGAATGCTTTCAAACAAACCATTTGCTTCAGAGACATGTTGCAATTTGAAGTCATTCTAGAAAGAAAAAAGACGGTAATTTAGATTTCTTTTTGTCTTCTTTTTTTGGTGGTTACGAGGTCTGTTAATTTGACCGTCCTTGTATAGAGCTAGAGTAGAGAAAATAACATATAAAATATGCAGTTTTACTGAAAATAAACATTTGAAATGTATTTAGGAGATTTTAGAGGTTATGAAAATGAAATTTGAGGTTTTTGAGATGAAGAAAAGTATTTTCAATTTTAACATGAAAATCACTTTGCACGTAGACAAGTACAAAAATACTTGATATATTCACGGACAAGTATTTTTTAATTTATTAAAATACTTCACTAAAACTATGCTTTATTGAATGTGAAAGACTTATAATATTTACTGAAAGTCTGCCAAGTTTTGTGAAGATATACATACTATATAACAGTGAAATGAACTAAACAGGGCCTAAACAGGGCCACATTTGATTGGAATTTGGGCCCTCTTCAATGGGGGCTTGGGCGCCTCGCACCCATTGCACCCCACCCCCCTAAGGGCCGGCCCTGGTTATAAGTTTTAAATTTTTTATTTTAATCTGTGTTTTTTATTCAGTGTGTACTAAACAGGAATGCCATAACTTATGCTATAAGTTTTAATTGAATGTGTGTTTTCTATTCAGTGTGTACTGAACAGGAATGTAATAACTTATGCTATAAGTTTCAAAAGTTTTATTTTAATGAATGTTTTTATATTCAGTGTGTATTAAAAAGGAATGCCATAACTTATGCTATAAGTTTTAAAAGTTTTATGATACCACAGATCCTGGTCTAAGAGTCATTAAGTATCATCTGAGGGCAAATATGCAAGTCGTAGGTTTCTCTCATTAAGGATATGTGCAATAAAAATGGCCACTATATGTGAAACGTTAAAATAGAAGGTTGTTGGAAATCATTACTGATGCATGAAATACATCACCTACACCTGTACTGAGTCATTGTGTAGTTGCAAGAAACTATGTTATCTGGACACTAGGATTACTGCACTTCGATATTATCTGTGGGTTTCTTTTAAATTTGTGCCTATATTAGTAAAGCATGTCGGTGCCTTAAGGATGCTGTATCCGCCATAAGAACAGATACGTGGCCTCACATTGCTTGTAACAGCGAAAGAATGCCAAAAATATAACAAAAGCATTATTCATTTCAGGATGCACACTTGCCAAAGAGCCAGACTTTTGTAGGTGTTGGGAGTAAAACTAATGCGTCTTTAAATTGGAGTTATAATTTTGGTCACCCTGAATTTACTTAGTTTTTTATTTCTTGGAAGTGAACTTACTCTAAAAATTGCGTTATTATTGAAAGGGTTAAGTCTGTGTTTCTCAAAATGTGGGGCGCACCCCCAAGGGAACGCAAATGGTCTTTTGGGGGCGAGGATTAGGGTACAGTCAATTGTGCAATAATGCAAAATTAAGCGTTTCAACATGTTTTTATTAATGAAAATAAAAAGTAATTACTACAACACACATATCATTTTAATGTGTGTTCGTGCATTACATCTCGTCACATAACTCTCTCTCTTTTACTCATTTAAAAAAGAGGGGCGCGCGCAAGAAACCATACTTATTAACGGGGAGCGTGGATAACAAAAGTTTGGGAAACTCTAGGTTAAGTAATAACCATGAAATATGACCTCTACAAAACTAAAGCAGAGCAATTAGTTTGTTACCATGTCTTAAGCCTAAATATATGTTATACTCTCAATATCTGAAATTTATTGTTATAGCTCTTGGACAGGAGTATTCTAAACCATTATACTTGATAAAATATTTTTATCTAGTTTTTTTGAACCCTTATTTAGGTAGAACTTAATTTATGACGCCCCTTTGTTGCCAGAGTGGTGGTGATTATGATTAAATTCCTTTCCTTGGATATACCTAACACTAATTTACTGTCTTTTGACACTCTTATGATGCTATATAAGCATATATATATACGATTTGATCAAAATTCTTGTCATGCCAGAAGAAGAATATATGGAAGTATTATTAGATCTAATTCATAGCTGTCTGTCTAAGTTTCACAAAAGTCAAGGGTGAATTTTGACGCAAGAAATGATTGTTTGTAAGCAAAATAAAAGAAAACAAACGAGAGTGAGTTGATTTCTTATTTTTTGCTTATGTAGTTATTTACCAACTCAAGCATTCAGGAAAATAATCATATTAAACTTTATAGAATCGGTAGTAAGGAACGAAACGTTTTTTACCTAGCTATATAATATACATAAGGCGAACATAATGTCTGGAATAAAGTCACAAAAATATACACTTACAAAAATCTTGAAACTAGTTAAGGATGATTTATAATTAAATTTTCATGCATGTTTGTGTTTAAACTGTTTATATATATACAACGAACTGGTGTATTATTTATTATTAGAGCTACTTTACATGTTTTGCTTTTTTTCACTAAGGCACATCATCAAAGATATAGATGTAATGAAGGATGTATTTTTAGTTTTACAATGACGAGCTGCAGTACTCATTCTCAGTCTGAAATAAGGTATTAAAGGTCTATTGATTTTAACTTAAATTGCAGCTGTACACAGCGTGGTCACAAGTAAATGGACACCACCTTTTCAGAAAAATTGAAAATTTTCAGTCATATTCACATGAATTG